ACAGATTTTCTATGGGATTAAGGTCTGGAGACTGGCTAGGCCACTCCAGGACCAGAATGTGCTTCTTCTTGAGCCACTCCTTTGTTGCCTTGGCTGCGTGTTTTGGGTCCTTGTCATGCTGGAATACCTATCCATCCACGACCCATTTTCAATGCCCTGGCATAATGTTTCCACCTCCATGTTTTATGGTGGGGATGGTGTTCTTGGGGTCATAGGCAGAATTCCTCCTCCAAACACGGCGAGTTGAGTTGATGCCAAAGAGCTCCATTTTGGTCTGCAGGATTTCAGTCCTTCACGGCGTAGTGTGTTACCAATTGTTTTCTTGGTGACTATGGCCCCAGCTGCCTTGAGATCATTGACAAGATCCTCCCGTGTAGTTCTGGACTGATTCCTCACTGTTCATGATCATTGCAACTTCACGAGGTGAGAGCTTGCATGGAGCCCCAGGCCGAGTGAGATTGACAGTTCTTTTGTGTTCCTTCCATTTGCGAATAATCACACCAACTGTTGTCACCTTCTCACCAAGCTGCTTGGCAATGATCTTGTAGCCCATTCCAGGCTTGTGTAGGTCTACAATCTTGTCCCAGACATCCTTGGAGAGCTCTTTGGTCTTGGCCATGGTGGAGAGTTTGGAATCTGATTGATTGCTTCTGTGGACAGGTGTCCTTTATACAGGTAACAAGCTGAGATTAGGAGCACTCCCTTTAAGAGTGTGCTCCTAATCTCAGCTCGTTACCTGTATAAAAGACACCTGGGAGCCAGAAATCTTTGATTGAGAGGGGGTCAAATACTTATTTCCCTCATTCAAATGCAAATCAATTTATAACATTTTTGACATGCGTTTTTCTGGATTTTTGTTGTTGTTATTCTGTCTCTCACTGTTCAAATAAACCTACCATTAAAATTATAGACTGATCATTTCTTTGTCAGTGGGCAAACGTACAAAATTAGCAGGGGATCAAATACTTTTTTCCCTCACTGTACGTTATACTTATATCCGTAGTCCTGCACTGTGTATCAAGTGTATAAGCTTACATTGAAAAACCTCGCAAAGTACAAAGTGAAGAGGGTTGTACTTTGAACATTTGGCCAATTCCTTCAATAGATTTGTGGGGTTTTTATGTTATAAAATGGAGATGGCTAGATACACAAGTAATATTTCAAAATACTTTTTTTTAAAACACGCTTTAATTTAATGTACCGTACTCGTAATGTCAAAACTCCACGACTCCAGGAAGTGGCCCCGAACCTTGCCACAACGTAAGGGGGCCGTGGTGATTTACAGCCAACGTCAGTTGAGGGTGGACAATTAGACCCAAGCCGAAACATAACATAATAAAGATGGTTTACAAATATATTTTTTATGATATAATATAGTATTGTCATCAGTATGACATAAGTATACCAAGTTTGCAGTCGATACCACATTGGGAAGTGGGTTAACATTGAGTTACAATATTTGAGGATACGACAATAACAGACAGTGAGTTAATAGAAAGCATGTAAAAAAATCGAGGGCATAGCACTTAAATTCCACACACTAGTGGCAGTAGTGCCATTTATTTAAAGGCAGGTAAGACTAAACTCGTAGCAACATTGCAACAACTGCACGTATAAAACAGCAGAGTGCCGAGTCACGTTTGCTCGGCAAGAAAATGTTGAGTCAGGGCGGTGACCCAACAAATGGGGGGAAGGGTGTGGACACACACACAACACTCACACCCAACAACACACACCCAACCACACTCACCCAACAACACAGACACCCAACAACACTCACACACACCCAATAACACTCACAAACACGAGGAACATGAAACGAATTTAAAGCATGTCGTCCTATAACGATATTCTTTGAAGGGATTTTTTACAAAGTTTTGTGTGCTATTATAACTTGCTATTTTTGTAACATTACCAACAACCTTTTGCATCAGGTCTAATAGTTTAAGGAATGTCCTTAAGTGCAATTTGTCATTGAGTGCATTCGAGGCGATACCTGGAATGCACTTAACTATCGATTCGCTCAAGTAAACAAAGTGTCATACTGCGTCAAACACATTCAGGCAATGGCTCTTCATACCAGAAAAGGCTATTTCCCGAAACGTCTATTGTTTTTCTTCTTAAAATATTTCCCTTCTACGTGACTTTACCGAAAGAACCAATAAGATGAATTCCTGCAGTCACGAAAGCTTTAAATCGAAAAATAAAAGTTTATTTTCCCTATTAGAGCGGTGTTATTAACAATTGTGGTTGAGTTCTTAATTTACTCAATGACAAATACATTTAAAATAAACCCAGTTAATTTATACAATTGATACTTATCCCACGAAATCGGGGAGAAATTAGAGAAAACTTAATTTTATTCAAAACCTCTACAACTCTCCCACCATCTTCAATGCATGCACAGTATGACATTTAAACTCTGTGATAGTTCAAGTGCTGTACAATGCAGCCTTGCATTGGTTAAACATCCAACAAACGCAGTTCGTAACCCACACTTAGAAGCAAACTTTACAGTAATTGTAAACACGGTAATCGATAAGCGTATCAAGCGCTTCGCGCTATAAGGGGCTACATTTCTACTTTAGCTAACCTACAAATAACTTCAAATCGATAAATCTACGTAAAATCCCAAAACACAACATGAACTGCTTCACGAGAAACAACGCAAGGACTCGCGGCCTGCGGGTATAACACGAAATGGGCCTTAAGAGAGGCACAAATGAGTAAATAACGCGTTCAGAGCCGAGGGTTAAAGAGGCGGGCGATTAAACACTAACAGCCGCATCTCACCTGCAGCACGCGCGGCCTGCCTCTCAATCTTAGCGACACAGGCGTCGAGACACCCCCCACCACTACCACCTCTCCCACATGTTAATACAAACACGTGTTCGTGACGTCACCAACGTGAACCAAACAATTCAAGGCGGCCATCTTACTCAGGGGGGGAGGGGTGAGGGACACTTCCTACCTACGGCTCTAACGACCGCGCGTTGCGAGATCGCTTACTAGTGACGTCACGCAATTGGTTTTGCATAGAGCCGAGGCGCCTTTTAAACCCTCCAACACCCCCTTAGTAAAATGGCCGCCCTCGTTGACGGGGGTGGGGGCGCGTTCACGCCGGCAAGGGCCAATCAGGAGCGAGCAGCTTCGCGCGGATCCGCGCTGCGAAATTGAAGCTCCACCCCTCCTCCCGCCCCATTCGCTCGTCCTGCCCCTCCCCCTCATCTCCCCCCCCATCCCCCAACTCATCCCAACCCCTCCCGCCGCTCCTCAGGGGGGCGGGGGAGGTGACGTTTGCGGCGCATTGACGTCAATGTGACGCCACCCGGCAGCCGGTAACCAATGCGCGACGCCACAGCCGCATCACGTGATTCAAAATAACGTTTAAAGAAAATAGGTGGGGGGTCGCGCAACGGGGGGGGGGTATGTGGGACGAGGGGGAGGGTGAGAGGAGGCCCGCGGTCGGGGCGAGTATAGCGGTGGGGGTTGAGAGGGGGAGAGAGGGGGGGGGGGAGAGGGGGGGAGAGAGGGGGGGGGGGAGAGGGGGGGGGGGAGAGAGGGGGGGGAGAGAGGGGGGGGGGGAGAGAGGGGGGGGGGAGAGAGGGGGGGGAGAGAGGGGGGGGGGAGAGAGGGGGGGGGAGAGAGGGGGAAGAGAGAGGGGGGGAGAGAGGGGGGGGGAGAGAGAGGGGGGGTTTGAGGGGAGGGATTGAGGGGGTGAGGGGAGGTTTGAGGGGGGGGAGAAGGGGGAGAGAGGGGGGGAGAAGGGGGAGAGAGGGGGGGGAGAAGGGGGAGGAGAGAGAGGGGGGGGAGAGAGAAGAGGATTGAGGGGGAGGGGCAAGAGGGAGGGGGGAGAGGGAGGGGGGAGAGGGAGGGGGAAGAGGGAGGGGGGCATTGTTGAGGGGTGAGATTGAGGGGGGGGGTTGAGGGGGGAGAGGGGAGGGGTGAGAGGGGAGGGGTTGAGGGGGGCTGGAAGGGGAAGCGAGGCGCGCGCGAGACGTCGAGAGCAGCGAGCGCGAGACGACGGCGGTTTGCCGAGGGGCGGTTTCCCGCGAAAAAAAATTTCTTTCCCGTTCCGCGCCCGTAAATAGAATTTATAGTTCATTATTTCGTTACTATTCGGTTCGAAACCAATCGCCTACGTTTCTCTCATCCGATTTACTAACGCGTCGAACGCATGCCGTTATAAGTAATATTTAGACATTTTTATTTATTATTTTTAAACATAATATGGCCGCTATTCGCTGACAATGTTTGCCGGAAGGGATTTATAACAGCGAAGCCGAAATAATTTGTGAGTAAAATAGGAAGCAAAATTTTGCCTCACGTTAACGACTCGATAGAAATAAGTTCTTAATTCCGATTCCTTGACCTGTTTGTAATTTTGCTTCGATTGTACGTATTTTTGTGCTTTATGACTAACGGATGTAAAAAAAATACATTTAGTGGCTTCACTGTAATTTAGCTGGTTTTGTAAAATATGTACAATAAATGTAAATTATAAACGTGCCGGTAAAAAATAGATTTTTGTTGTGTCAAAGCAATCGGCGCATGTAGAAAAACAACAATTTACGCGAAGAATCTTGTAAAAAAAAAACCCAGCTCTACGTAAAATAAAACTATAGGGGACAAAACGGCGAAGACACACTATAAAATCGCGCAAAATAAGAAAACGCAATTTTTTTACGTTTCGCATAAAATAAAATATCACAAGAAGTAAAGAGAGAGGAAGGGTTCCTCCTCCACCACCATCATCTCCTTGACTGCAGTGGGTGTCCCCCCCCACCACTACCACCCACCCACCACCACCCACCACTACCACCCACCACTCTGCCTCGACTTCCCGGTGCTGCCTTTCGCCATTTCCGCCCTCGCCAGCCCAGCCCAGCCACAAGGGGGCCGCCACATTCTTCTTGTTTTGCCTCGCCGACAAACATCGACGACACCTTTTGGACAAGGGCGCTCGACGAGAAGCGCGCGCGCGTGTTGGTGGGTGGGTTTGGTGGTGGGTGGGTTTGGTGGTGGGTGGGTGGGGGGAGGAAGGCAAAAGCAGGCAAAAAAGCAAAAGCTCTCGCCCGACGGAAGAAGCGGCTTGCCGCGCTGTATGAGCTCGGGGGCGGCAAGATGATGTCGGCCACGGCCACGGCGGCGGAGAAGGTGGACGGCTTCAGCCGGCGCTCCCTGCGGAGGGCCGGACGCGCTCGACGCTCGCAGGGATCGTCGCAGTTTCGCACGCGAGCTCACCTCGAGCTCGCGCCGCTGCCCGCGCTCGCGGGTGAGTGCGTAGCTGGTCGGTGAAATCGAAAGTTGGGGGGGGGGGGGCCCCGTTAAGCCGGGCCCGGTCGCGTGTACGGGGAAGGATGGTTGCATCTGCCTCCCCCGGGAGGCACCCATGGACAAGGGTAAGGGTGGGGGGGTGGCCCAGGGGGTGGCCCAGGTGCCACAGGCCTACCTAACGGAGACGTTTGGGGTGGGTGGGGGGCATTGAATTGGACAAAGGGTGGGTGGGGAGCAACATTTTCATTCCTTCCACCAAGACCCCCAGGGTCCATGCCCAACCACACTCATGCCACTGGTTGGTGAGTGTTGGGATTCGGACCTGTGCGTTTTGACGGGCTGTCGAAACATTTTGCCACGAATTGGCGGTGATATTTTGTTACATGTTAAATGTTAACTATGCATCCTGAGATGTCACCGACAATAACACTTTTAAGTAGGCAATGGTCAATTACCACGGATGGTTCGTTAGTTGTGGCTGGCAAAACCGTAAGCATCGAGTGTGGAGGTTTGAGCAGCGGAGGCTTTGGGATGGGTTGGAGGGAGCTTGAGGCGCGGAGACCTGCCAAACATCCCAAGTAGAAGCCTCTAGAAATCGAGTACTGTATTGGAATTCGGGCTTTGCAGGAAAAGGGTATCGTATTACCTTCGGTGTGGTTTTGGTGTGGGTGTTTGGGATTGAGGTTGGGTAGCCATGGATTATCTCCATCCAGGTCCACGCAGTTGTAAGTAATAAGGGTTTCAGGTTGGAGCGATCTGGATTGATTTAGTTTTTTTGGGTTTTAATTCTCTTCGCAGGGGGTTTACGCGTGGGAGAATGGAAATGTTTACATTTAGGGGAAATTTTTACAATCAAAATGCTGTTCATCTGGTGAGTTGATTCTCGAGTTTTCTCAGGAGGGGACCTGCTTTTGAAAATATTAATCAATTCCACATATACTGTACATGTTTTGTTTGTGGCAAATATTGGGATACCTGTAGATAACCAACGTGTGAGAGGATAACGCAAAGCCCTGCACAGATGGATTATAGCCATTGCTGTACTATTGCCTAGCCTACCTCTGAAGGGGGGCTCGAAATACAGTGCCATTCTGACTGGGTGTCCTGAGTGGGTTTTAATGGAGGCTGTTGAGCACCTTGGGTTATGTGGTCTCTCAGGCTTGGTTTTCATGAGAAGATTGGGATTAGAGTTATTTTGTGGTGCGGGTTATGTCGTACTTGCAGGATAGTAGGGCAACTCGGCCCAGCATGGTGTGTTGTTGTCCCTGATGGAATGGGAGTGTATTTAGGAAAGATGGTGGCTTCTGCCCTGGAGGTATCCCAGTGGAATATACCGAGGTGGAGGGGTGGTGAGAAAGTGCCTGGTAGAGGAGTTTGCGAGGATAAATGGCTTGGAGCCAGGGTACTTGACAAGGGCAGTTGCGATTGAGGGCAATGATGTGGGGGATGGATAGTGATGTTGATAGTTAAATGGTGATGGGTTGTGGGAGCTGGAGAGGGAATAGATATGTCGCGTGGCTTGCTTAGTGGTTTGTATATGCTGGAGGCAGATGTGGGTACAGGCTCTATTTTAATAGGGTCACTGAGACATATGGGCATTTTTATGTAAAATGGTAAATCTTTTTTTCCTCATACCTCTGGGGATGGGCAGCCATTTTAAGGGGAGAGATCATTGCATACAATGCTAGATTTAATGTGGAAGATAGCTTTCAAGAGAGGAGCGTCGAGTGTGTGTAGTTTTTTTTGTGCCACTGGGGTGTTGGTTGTGGAGAGGTTTTGTGATTGGTTGGGTTTCTGAGGGATTAAGAAATATGGAACCAGTAGGCAGTGCACGACTGACTACATGTAAGCTTCTGCCTCTGGATGAGTAAGCATGAGCGTACAGGACAATCTTTGTGCAGAAATTTCCAGCACTTAGGAGGACGTGCAAATTAAGGCCTTGTTCATTGCAAGTACAGGGGCAGCACAGGTTAAGGGGGTAGCGGTGAGGTATGCTTGGGGGCATACCGAATTTTGGAACTTTAAAGGTGGTTATTGGCAGAACAGCATTTTATACATGAGGTAAATTATGCAATCCTGTGCCTGGAATAGCAAGGACCAAGACAGATGGGAGAAAACGCATGAGGACCGTGGGGCAGAATGCACTGGGTAGAAACTTGGATAGCAAATTGTATTGCCACAATTAGCGGTGTTGTATTGCCACAATTAGTGCACAACACAGTACAGCAAATGAGTATTGGTATATGGGGCACTGTTGACAGCACCCACAAGGGCAAGCTCATGGACGCTCGTTTGTGTCCTGCAGGCCGTTGACGCAGCAGGCCAGCTCGCTGAGAAACGGAGAAGCATGCAAAATATGACATTGCTAGTTTAGTTCCTGCTGTGTTGAATCCAAATCAGGGGGGTTCACGGGAGTTATTTGTAGGTTATTCAAAATGGCCAAGCCCAGTTATAAGCGCGACACTGGCCAACGTAAGGATTTTTCTGCCCTTATCAATTATTTAATACAGTCGGCATTGGTAATCCAGATACCTTTTTTGCCGTTGGTGCAACGCATCTATTGCCTTGGCCTGTCGGTTTTGGTACTGATGACTGTGCACTGCAGAGCTACTGTCCTAATCCATGCATCAAACATGAACTCGACTAAAAGGTTGGTCTCCGGGGTTAACCGAAGAATTCTCTTGCTCTGCTGTGTTTAGGTTGATCGCTAAAATAAACACATTAAACAGCGTAGGAGTGGCATCAGTTTATTTTTATCTGACATTAAGTAAATAATCCCGTTTTCTTTTTGATGCCAAACCCTTCAAATGGACCAATTTGAGGCACTAACCTTCATGCCACCCACTGTCATAAACATGTGTGTTGCAATGAATGGCAATTTGGAATCTAATGTAAATGTGCAAAGTTTAATATATACTGTACTAGGTAATTGCTCATTTCGCAGTGCCTCACGTTTTATAAACGTTTGCAGATGATGTATGTGGTAATTGAAGTCGTAGTAAACTGTAAGGACAATGCATTCTGCCTAACATCTCCATTGTTTACATCGCCGCAGCTATGGTATGAAAAATGCACCAGTGTGATAGAGCCCAGTAAACTTAAGCCTCAGATTTGTTCGAATGATTCATTGTGTTTCGTGTTCAAGCCCACATTGATGGTCATAAGATGCACATTCCACTCAAGGGTACATTTTATTGGCAAAAATTCAGTCTGTCTTTTACACGTTTAAATAGGCTACGCTAAAAGCAACCTGCATTGCTGGTGTTAGAAGGCTAAAATAAGCCTGTCATGTACAGTACCAGTGCATGGCAGAGACTTGATCCCTTGCAGTAAATGAAAGCCACTAAATGCTTCTGCGTTGGACAGTATTACGAGCGTTATGCCATTACCTAAAACATTAACTGTAATCGGATGGGCGAATGTGTACAGCCAAGCTTTGTAGGCCTCACATTTTTTGCACCTATCAGAACATATCTGCCCTCATGAGATGGAAATGTCATGGCACTTTACTGTGGAAAACCATGAGGTTGGCATTGAAAATGGACTGGGTGTTTTAAAAATCCCAATGACCAAAAAATGTGTGTACTTTTTTTGCTTTCACTTTTGTAGTGCACGTGTCTTTTGATTTTAAACCGTACAAACGAATGGCTTAATCTTTAATGCATTAATATTTGTACAGTATTCAATAATGGTTTGACATTTTTACTTGTAATTGATGAACATTAAATTGCGTCAACTTCAGATTAATACAGTGTATACACACTTGGTCTCACTACAGTAATGGCTTGTTTGCTAAATACATTAATTGTTAATCCAGGAGAGGCCTTTTAGGCATTCGGAAATAATGGTGTCTTAAAACCGACGTAAGCAGTGGAAACATTTAAAAACAGGCTATTACAGTGGTGCTGCGGTTTATATGAACTTTCAAGCAATGTTGCATACATTAGAACCTTTTTCTGAGAGTTGAAAAAGGAGGCAACTGCTGTTCTGAAGGAAACCGTATTTTATACTGGGCAATGAAAACAAACATTTTTGGTTGTTGAATCGTGATGTGACCGGAGCATACGAGGTTGGCACACGGTGGATTATAGGCTTTATACAAATTCCTCGAATTTATACATTTTAAATCTTAAATTTCTAGCAGCAACATAAAAAACACATTATTCAGGACATGTACACTGAGCATTTATTGGTGCCTGCGTCTGCTGTTCCTACACGGAGGAAGGTGCAGTAATTTGGTTGGAGGTTTGTTTGGTGCTGCCGCACAATTTCATTGCCTGCATCCATGACCCGTGTCCACAGACACCCCAGCGTCGGAGCAGGAGGAGCTATTCTGCAAGAAGCTGCAGCAGTGCTGCGTCATCTTCGACTTCCTGGACTCCGTGTCAGACCTCAAGGGCAAGGAAATTAAGCGCGCTGCGCTTAACGAGTTGGTGGACTACATCACGGCAGGGCGTGGGGTGCTCACAGAGTCCGTCTACCCGGATATCATCCGCATGGTGAGTACCCATCCTGTGTCCATTGGCCACCCTTTCATTGAGATGTTTGCGTTCACAGAACTGATTGTATGGCCAATCTAGGAATCTGGCAATCAATTAGAACTGTGATTTTTGGAAAGAGTATTTATTGTTTTCCTCAATCGTATGAGTCTCAAGAGCCGAGTCGATATTAATGTGGTGAATGTAAATGTCCTGATGCATTTAAGTTGGATACACAGGAAGACCTCGCCGAATATGGGGGTTACATTCCTGGAAAATGCCGTTTTGGGCAAAACCATCCTCAACAAATAATAGACTTTATGGGAAAAAGAGAGTTGCGCGATTCGGTCCGAAATGATCGTTGTTGAACTACTTCTAAATCATTTCTGTCCTTGTAATTGTAATAAAAGATGCTGAGTCACTTTCCATTTCTTTAAGTTTTACCTTAACACAAAACTGCTGACTCCATTGCTCTTCCCACACCGCGGCTCTCACGTCCAACGCTCGCCCCTGACACTGTATTTCGGGCCTGACGCTCGATCCTAGCACTGTTACTTGAACGTAAATGATTGGCCATCTAGGCGTCCGTATGACTGACGTTTTCAAGGAGTGAACGGCTCGATGCAGGCGGCAATGTGTGAATATTTGTGTTGTGTGTGAGCATGTTGAGACCAGTATGTAACATTATCACACAAGAAACATACACAAAAAACATGTAAATAAATCGTTCTCACAGTCGATTCATTCACACCCCAAAGTACCTTCAAACTGATGCAGCACTCTCACCTCTCGCAAGCCAATCTAATAACTATGTTAGCAGTGGCAAATTATGTATCGCTGAAACATCACCCCTGTGTTATTGAAACGGACTTCAAGAAATCAACTGTTTAAAGGTCACATGTGCGTGAGATAAACCCTGTTCAGCGAGGTTTTCCTGTACTATTGTTACAGTATCATACCTTGTAGAAATAACCAGAAAATATCGTCTACTTGATTTTAGTGAAAAAGTAATGTACTAACATTTGTCTGACCAAGTTTGTGTAGTAATTTCTGCTCTTAAAAGCAGGCAGTGGCCATCCAATTAAAATAGAGTACTTGATGTTCCCATGGTCACTTTGTAAATATAAAAATACAATAAATATTTTGCACAGTGAGTGATGTTCACCAATTGAAAGCTATGTACACTTCAATTCTGTTGGCATGACGTCCTTGGTTATAAACAGTATTTATGTTTTTATTACAAATTCACTTGTACAAAGTACAAAATATTCATGGTCTTGTAATGGAAGTAAAGTAGTGATGAGTGCGTGAATTTGCGTTGTAAAATATTTCAGAGGCAGATGTCCACCATGGTTCATCCCACGATGCAATGAGAGGCTCATTATTGATTTACTCTGAAAGCTCCAGAGAGGTCAAGAAGGGGTCAGAATTTGAAAGGCGTATTGCAAGCTTTCAGTGGAATGGGTCACTTTACACATTCTGTAAAAAAAACACAAATAACTTACAGCAACGTAATCGAGCAGTAACTTTAGATTTTGCATTGTACAAGGCACTGTGGTCGCTGTTTATGTAATGGCAGGCATTGAATGGGAAACGAGAGATTTAGAGCTGCTGTTTGCTCTTGGCAGAGGCTCAAAATTCTGGCACTGCGGCAGAGCCTGCAGCCAAAATTGTGGCGTCCATCGTTGCGCTGCCTGTTGTCCTAAAGTGTTGTTGTCGTGCTTGCTGTGTGAGTTTTATTCTCTGCCACACAATAGCGAGTAAAGTGTGTGTGGCGGCCCTGTTTTGGAGCACCCCAAGACAAGCGAGTCCACTGGAGTTAATTAAGATTTCGATAGCTTTGACCATGCTGTTCCCAGTAAATCTTTTGCTAAACCATGACCCCTACACTCTGGGAGACTGGAACTGTCTGGTTTTGCTCCACACCGTGTTGTTGCAATTTGATCCTTGATTGAATTACAAGTTCCATTCTTGCCGCCGAACACTGCATATTTATTAAATGAAAGTTTCAGTATTGCGTGCAAGCGCAGTTCATTGTGCATTTAGGTGTCCCAGAAGCTTGCCACATTCCAGATAACATGTGGTGGAAGTACATTAGCCCTGAGGATAACATTACATTATTGTGTGCGTTTGTGTGCATGAAATTTTGTATTTTATGACCGCGAGCCTGTGCATTCGAAGTGGTACGATCTTTGCAAGGTCACGCTGCCACGCAGAAAAAGCAGCATTGAGTTTTCATGTTATGTAAGAGTTCCTATGTACGATTCTTAGGGTTCAATAGGTTTGCCTGTTGGATATTTATAATCGTTATTAGAGTGCCATAGTCCAGCAATGGTAAAATCCTTAAGTGGTCCAATTGGTAGCACTCCCTGCTGCGTCAGCTTTCCAGCCAAATGCCATGGCCGGTGGATCCATAACTGCTGGGCACTGAAACTGCAGGTTGTGGTTAGGTTTGGGGGGTTTGTTTGACCATACCTCACCATGCTGTTTTGTGCGGGTTGGTAAAGATACCAAACCAACAGGGGAATGTAAATGTGACACAACATGACCATGATCACATAGGCAGCTCGACCAATTACAGCAATACTTTATTCATAATTTACACACAAAACAACCACCATAGTTATTCACTAACAGAGCAAAACTGCAACTACAGTCAGTATACTACAGTAACAACCAATGCAATCTCAACAGCAACAAGCTACTAAAATAATGATTCCTTTGGCAGCTAACTGTTGCAGTGCTGCTTCTGTAAGGCTGTAACTATATATTTCACGAAAATAATACTACTGGCACAACTACTACAGGTATTTACTATAGCAACTACAGTCCATAGTAGTCTAATACCACAATCACAATACCTACAGCAATTGTCAACTACAGTAGCAACTTATACCACAACCTACTATTACAGCACACGGACTAATGTTCATGACAGCAATAATGGCAACATGTTAACCACCACAGCAACCATCCCCAATCGTAGTTCACTTCAAGAATAATTACTGCAGTCACTACTCTGGCAAAAGCTGCAACTATAGTTCAGTAATCATGACAATATTCACAGCCACTTCAACAGTTTACCAATGCAATATCAACTCCTATAGCAACCAACCCACCCACAGCAGAGTCGGGCAGGGAGATAAACAACATACCATTGCATCTACAAAAGTAAGTTTTCAATAAATGTCCATTATCTACAATTACACATGGATTTGAAACATGCACGATGATAAATAAAATGGAATAAAAACTGAAAAGCTTGCAAACAAGAATGGAGGTGCTTGCTTGGAATTATTCAGAGAAACAATGATGTACTCATGGATCAAGGAACAATCAGATGTAATATTGATTGTTAAGGACAATGAGTGGTTGTTGGAAAGGAGACGTGACAGAAAAGTAGTCAAAGGAGATAACAAGCCTGTGAGAACAACTGCCACAGAAATGGAGTGAAAAGATCTGCTTGTGCAGGAGTCAAATGGGTTGTGGCAACTCAAGACCGTGAGAGTTGGTGACAGTGAAGAAGAGGCCTTCATACTGTAGTTGATAAATCATGGCATGATGGTTTAGAGTGTCAAAATATCTACTTATGCCTCGCATTATAATGGTGTGAACTTGGTCAAGGACTGCATGGAATTAAGCGAAAGTTGCCCTCAAAATGGTTCTGGGCTTAGAGCAAAGATCTGTTTCTGGGAAAGTTCACACATACAAACCACGGGCTAATGTGAAATGTGGGAGTTGAATTTGCAACAATGATTATCAGGCCAGACACCCAAGGCGAAAGCAAAATGCCGGAAGCGAGCCAAGAGCAGTGCATATTGAGATAACGAGTTTGTTACGCTGCGAGAACGACCTGCTGCTGACCACACCTCGCCCACATATGCCTAGCTCACTCGTGGTGGCTGCCTACGTTGAAACCACAGTTTACTAAAGTGCATTTTCCCTTCTCGTTTTTGTTGTGCATTTGTTGGGGGGGGGGGGGGGGTGAAAAACATTCCCATTTTTAAAAGGGCGACTGATGCCTCTCTGAATGTAATGGTTGTGGGATTGTTAAAGGGTACAAATGCTTTGATGTTTTCAGATCACTTGAAGTGTACATTTTGCAGGTAAAAATTTAGTGTGTCGTTATCTTCCAAAGAATGTTTTAAAATGTAATCAACATAACTTTAATTATGTTGCCCTTACTACTTGTTTACCATTAGAAAAGCTAGTAATCAGCATTGACTTTATTGGTATATATTTTGTACAAGAAAGCCTTTTTGTTTTGCTTAGCAGTGCTGTTTTACAAACCTACAGCAAAAAAATCCCCTGCTTAAATATTGATTTGATGGCTTTTTCTGCCAGTAACAGATGGCCTGCTGTTGCATGCCTTTGTACTATTAAATGGACGCTTGGAAAGAAGCTTTCCAAGTGTATGCAGAGCATAGCGTACTTTCAAAATTCAGCAAGAGGAGACTTTGATTCCCTGTGTCAAGCCAAATCGTGCTTTTAGTTTTCCACCAGATGTTAACATTTATAGTGAACATATTAAACAAAGAAATGAAATACTTGTACTTTGGCACACATTCATTACTCAATTGCAGATAATCGGGTCCTGTTACGTACTTGGCCCATGAAGCCACTCTTTTTAGCCCATGTGGAAAATTTGTTTTCATGTTGGGACCATGCTTTTTTTAGTAAAAAAAAATTACTGAGTAAAAAACAACTTGGCCATATTTGGCCATAAGGACAAAGTAAATGGTTTGCAATGTCATCTGCCATATTAAAGCAAAGGGGAAAGATGGTTTAACACTAGGGATGTAACAATTCATGGATTGACATTGATTTTATACTTGCGATAGTGTGTAAAATTGTGCATGTAAAAAGTATTATTTCTTCTATGGGCTAGTGGTTGTAATCAACAAGACAGTGCAATCAAAGCAGGCGTACAAATGAGATGCGCAATGTAAATAAGTCGGGCAATACATACACAATCAAGACAAAAAAACAATCGACTCTTTTAAAGGCTTTCACCACATTGTGATAACTCATTGAAACATTGGAAATGAGTGACAGCTTGCATCCTGATGTGCCTATTTAACACACTGTCGGCTATGGTGATGCGTGACATTTAAACTTGTGCAGTCGCTATGGTGGCTGCTATCTCGTACCCGTTACGCCATATTCTGCACACACGGGAATCTGTACTTCACTGCGCTTTTGTGTATGAATTATTGCCGGGCTTAAGCGAAGCTGAAACCAACCTAGCTCCCCTCAATCGACAGTTGTGAATGAAAGCAATAAAGCAGTTTTTCAGGAAAATTTTTACTAATTGCCTTGGTGGACCTCTCAGAATAGCCACAGTCAAACAATGTGCTATTTGAACGGCACTTAGAATGCAAGGCTCATTGCTCTTTGCCATCCCATTTTCACACTTTTGTAATGTAGGCCACCAAGGGAAGGCGCCTAACCTTAAATTGTAAAAAAAAACATTGCATATATGTAGTTGCTGTGTCAACAAAGCTGCATCAGTTAATGGTGTAATTGCAATGAGGAATGGTAGTAAAATATATTGAAGCTTTTTGTCATACATTTTAATAACATGTGCATGCTTCATTGTTGTGTTATGGTATCGAGAATAGCAAAATTCCAAAAGTAAATATTAGCTCTAACGAAGCAAAAGCCTTAAGAGAGCTCCGAGTAAATAAAGATATCCAAATCCTGGCAGCTGATAAAGGCCGCACTACTGTAGTGATGTCACGAGCCGATTATGATAATACAATTAGAAATTTACTAGAGGAAAGTACCTACATTAAAATTAAACAAGATCCAACTAATACTTTAGAACGTAAGACTACTGCAATAATTGCAAAATCATTAATCCCTAAGAATGAGCAATACCAAATTAAGCCAAGGGCCTCAAAACTACCTAGACTGTATGGGCTACCAAAGATTCATAAAATCGGCATCCCATTTCGACCCATAGTCAGTACAATTGGCTCTGCCACATATAAATTAGCAAAATATATAACTAAACAAATACAGCCCTACATCGGTAGGACATCGTCATTCATAAAAAATTCAGAACATCTTGTGAATGTGATTAAAGATATTAAACTTAATCCTAATGATATTCTGGTAAGTTTTGATGTGATTTCTCTGTTCACTAAGGTTCCAGTGAACGAATCGCTTAAATTACTTTATACACTAGTAAAGAATACAGGTTTACCAAAAGATATTCTGAAACTTGCTGATCATTGTTTAAATAACACATGAAAAACTTTGAAATAAGAGCACTTGCCTCGAGCACATTAAAACCATTTTTTTGGCTTAGATATGTGGATGACACTTTGGTTGTCTGGCCACATGGTACAGATAAACTTAATGATTTTCTAAATCATCTCAATGCACAAAACCCGGCCATCCAGTTCACCAAGGATATGGCGGTGAATAACACACTCCCGTTCCTAGATATTTTGCTTGGACATGGCCTAAACGGTAAAATAACACAGCGTTTACAGAAAGCAAACGCACACTGATGCCTATCTGAATGCAGATTCGCATCATCGTCCAGCTCAGAAATCCTCTCTTATCAAGACGCTCTTACATCGGGCTAAAACAGTGTCAGATGGTGAAAGTCTAGTGAGAGAGATCAAACACGTTAAAGAAGCATTACGACAGAATGGATACAATAATACTGAAATTAACAGCACTGAATGCCAAATCACGATCGCAAAGCACTGCTGAAAGCGATCAGACTGTTAAAACAATAAAAATTCCATATATCTCAGGAGTAACTGACAAATTAGCCCGTGTTTTGCAAAAGCAAAACATTACAGTAAGATTTGTACAGTACACAATTCAAAAACTAGTATCTTGCACTAAAGACGAATTACCTAAATTATCAACAAGGTGTATATCAGATTAATTGTTTGTGGCAGATGCTATATTGGACAGACGGGACGTAACATCAGCATAAGACTAAAAGAACACTAAAGAAATATTACATTCTCAAACACAACTGTCGGCAGTGACAGAACATGCTTGTCAACAAGGACACTCAATTGATTTTGATAACGTTGAAGTGTTGTGTAAAACTATTTATTACTGGCAAAGACTAATTATAGAATCCATTGAAATTGAGAGAAATAGAAATAACTTTAATCGCTCTGACAGCTACAGGCTTAACGCGGCTTGGAAGCGTATTATTAAATAATACATATTACAATTCCTTATAGGGGAAACACATACTAATTAACGGATTACTAACGTAGCATATAATCACAATAACACATTACAACTAATTACTAATCTACAACTCATTACTAATCATAACCATTGACTGATTACCAATCGATTATATAATTACAATACCCCCCCTCCGCCTCAAATCACTGCACCTGAATGAGTTAAATGATGACGTCGCCCTGCTGCTCTATTTAAGACCGGGAGCAAGAGAGGGCTTTACCATTCTGGCGAATTGCCCAATGATGCTGGATGTAATTACCAGCGAAACGTCGTACTCATACTAAATGTTGTGGATTCACTCTTCAACACACCAGTGGGCTAAAGTAGTGAACTATTTTACTTTTGTCAACGTGACACTTTTTTGCTGATTGGCCATGTCGGGTGGTGGAGAGTTACGACACATTTATATATAACGCGATCTAACCCAAAAACCTTTTTTTATGAAAGATATGATTATATACACTTCTTGTTAATTGAGGAAAGTGATTACCATCAGGTTATTCTCATAATGCATTGTACATTCGGTAATTTGTCAGCCTTTTGTGGAAATGCGTCTTCATATTTCTATTCTCTAAATTACTTCCCATGCTCAATGAGACTAGGCCAAAGTGTAAAAGGTAGTTTTGCACCTGACTAATTATAGATTACTGCCCAATATTTCCTCTTCTGCTCATTCCATCTTTCCTGCTTATGTCCTTAACATAATGACCTCATCCTTGCAGGAGTTGTTTCCTCTCGCCTCTCTTCGTCTATTTTTTCCAACTGGATGAGAGCTCCATCAGGCATAAGGTTATAAATGAGGCTTAATTCAAAAGCAAACGGAGTGAATTTTGGACTAATATTTGATAGATGTAATTCAATTTTTTAATTGGAAAATGATAATCAATCTTAATCTCACAAACGCAGATGGTCAGGCTGATTGTAGTGATGTAATTACTGTCTTAATGACATGATCCCATCAGGCTCCTTTCTTTCTGTTTCATTTTTCTGGGCCCAAACGGCACTTTGATTCCACAGCGCCACAGTGGAAAAACTTTGTGGCAGCAAAGTCAAATTAAATATATGCATCATTGTTTGTGAGAAAGGACCCAATTAGACTGAGGTTTTTTTTCTCCACTTTTTAATTATGGCAAACCAGCTGTCTCATCCCAGAGTAACAGTTCAAAGTGTGGCATTAAAGTACATGCTGCAGGAACAAAGCATTGTGCAAAGATGCCTCATACATTCACAAACTGGTTCTGATCATGTATACAAACCAAGACTAAACCCACATTGCTCTGTGCTTGCATATGTGTGTATTTGTACATAATAGAGCCATGGTTGCTACCCATTTCCTTACCTTTTTTTTGGTTTGTCCTTTTAAGGTAAGACTTTCACTCTTAGAATGTAAAACGGTTCAAACACTGGCACAAGTTATGGTCAGCAGCTCTGATAGAAGTCATTGAAGTGGATGCAGGAGATTTTCAGCATGGCCTGTGCAGATGTTTTGACATTTGAAAAAAAAACATTTTTATGACCATGCGAATAAATAAAAATGGACACGCGTCAACAATGTCGCATTTTGAGCTTTTCAAATGGCCTACAGTGAGACTGCCACGTCCTTTTTTTGTTAAATATAACCGACGTTTCCTTTACAGTGACTCCTACTTTTTTTGATGCACTTATGCAATTTCATTGTGTGGGGGAAGAGTAATGCCTTTATATTCTTGGTTCTTTCGGTAAAGTCACGTAGAAGGGAAACAATAAAATAATAAAAATATAAAACAATAAAATTCTCACGACGTTTCGACTGCAACACAAGCAATCATCATGTGTGACTTTACCAAAAGAACCAAGAATAGTCATGCCTTTATGAAGAAGTTATTGCATGCCAGCCAATGTGAGAAAAACATAACTGCTTTCATCCAATAATTTTTGTAAAAAAATTGTCATTTTTTGAAACAGATGGAATCATGGTCATTGTAAAATAGTGTACTTTATGCTTTTGGAAAGCTATAGAAAGAAGTGTTACTTTAAATGTGGTAATTGGAATTTTGAAACATGGATTTTGATCCTATCGCACTGTTGTCCTACTTTTGCCATTACTTGGCAATCTGAAATCAAACCAACCAACCTGGTAAAAGTTATCCTAATTGGTGAAAAGACCAACTACATGGCTCTCCAGCTACCTAGAATGCCCCGAAGTGCTCGTATGATGGGTGTTTTTTTTCCTATTCCAATGCATGTGCAGGTTTTTTCTAATAATGACGGTGATTGAGGTTTATAGCTTTTCTTTCAGAATCACTGCCCTGCAATTATTACTAATTTCAAAATGGAATTATACGCAATTCTTCTTTCGTCACTGTAAACGGTTCAATACATTCCTGATTTGCCAACGAGTGTCTCTTTGCATATGGCTCTGTGACTCTGTGGTGAAATGTCCCTCCATCACATCAAGTCTGAGTCCGCTGTTGAAAAAAGTATCCGTGTGTCTACTCCAGGTGGCGTACAACATCTTCAGAACCCTGCCGCCAAGTGAGAATCCAGAGTTTGACCCAGAGGAGGATGAACCTACGCTGGAAGCGTCCTGGCCTCACTTGCAGGTCCAAGTCACCCCCCACCACCCTGTGAAGTCACCCTCCCATTTATTTGCATACTTGACAGTGACATATCCTGAAAGGCATTCGGATGCTGCTTTTTTAATCCAGTTGTCAACACGTAAGTTGCCGAGTGTAACACCGGAATTCCAGCTTTAGGCTTGGATTAGACAACTGTTGTGTAGGGGTGTCCCCATCGTGGCATCATGCACGTTTGAATATCATACCTCGTGGTAGGGTTCATTTGAGAATTTACAGCACAGTACAGATACAGTGTACATCATGGGACCTCCTTTGTCAGTACCAAAATATGATAATAGGTTTTTCCCTTTTTTCTGGCAACAAAACAGGTGTTGAGATGTTAAAACACCAAACTAAAACCTTTTTCAAGGAATCATGTCTGCATTAACCACAATACTTGTGGTCAGAATGCAAACAAAAAAGTACTCTGATAATATATGCATTGTCTTTGAAACTGATTGGTCCACACCAGAGACAGCTTTCTTTTGAGCCTTGTCCCAAACGGTGTTAGACCAGAGGATGCCTTTTCAGATACAGTGCAGTGTATTTATGTATGTAAATTAGAAATTGAGTTATTTTTTCTTTATTAAGTTTGTGTTAAATTATACGAAATTATAATGAGTGTCTTGGTTCTTTCGGTAAAGTCACGTAGAATGGAAATAAAAGAATAAAAAATAAACATAATAAAATAAGATTAGAATCTTATTTAGAATCTTATTTTATTATGTTTTATTATTTTATTTCCATTTTAATCTTATTTTATTATGTTTTATTTTATTTCCATTCTACGTGACTTTACCGAAAGAACCAAGAAGATGAATCCCTGCAGTCACGAAAGCTTTAAATCGAAATATAATGAGTGTGTTTGCCCTATGTGTTTGCGTTAAAGGGGACTGAATTGTGCCTTTTGCATCGCTTTCTCACACTCCTGCATTGTTTTTGTCTCCTATGAACCTCTCCTTAGATCGTCTATGAATTTTTTCTAAGGTTTTTGGAACAGCAGGAATTCCAACCCAGCATTGCCAAGAAATACATAGACCAGAAGTTTGTACTGCAGGTGAGTGTTATAGCTGAGTGAGGGCCTGCAATCCCCTTGTCTTTCACACCTTGTTGGCAGTTACATAGCAGAGGAGTTTTATATATGATTTTCAGACAACTGCTGAAATTGCCATCATCAGGTTATAGGGACTGCTTGTGTAGAAATCTCGCAAAAAAATGTTCACCATTGAAAGACTTGACATTTTTACACCCTCCCCAAGAGTAATAGGTGTGACATAATTAGGCTGTAGTGTTAAAAATGAGGTCATGACATCCTCTGCCACAAGATCGTAGTCATACAGTTGCTGTTTTCCCACTGTCACAGTTGAATCTGTGTTCTTTCCTGTATGATACATGAAGCAGCTCGATGCGCAGCAAAACTGCAGGCTCCTGTTTTCAGATCTTGAACTGCGGTAGACTGGGCACATTGAATTTTATAAAAACATTGTGTGGGGTGCACCGAAAGTGTTGGCATCCATGGTTCTGGCTTTCTTAAAATAACAGCGTTGGCCTGTCGAGTGATAGATGGCGAAGCGTTGGAGACGCGCTCTTGTGGAGATGGTAATGGGCCGTGTTGCTGGGCACAATTATGCTGGCCGCTTGCCATGTTGGACCAGTATTTTTTTTTTAAGTTGAGTTTTTATTGCAAACGATATGTTTTTGTTGCCCCCTCCCCCCCCCCAGATGTTTCAGTTTATCATAGGTGCGTGTTAAAATATAATTGGGTTAAATGTACCCCATTATACGCTGCACACTGGGTGGTGTCAGTAATGAAAGACCTCAAGTGGAAAGCACAGTTGTCCATTTAAGATGTTTCCATAAAACATGGAAGTGGCAAGTTAAAAGGTCCTTCAAATCTCACATTGAAAAACAAAATAGCTTTTATTTTTAAAGGGTTCACAATTTATCTCCTGTGCACTTATGCTGTAAAGCTACAACATTCAAGCAGACGACTATTTAAATGCATCTTTTGATAATTTGAAACATCCAATAAGGTTATAATTTAATTAAAAACAACTGCAAAGTTTACAATTCCAAATAATGCACTGCGTTTTATTACTTTGCATGTAACCTCGTACTTGACTATGTTAGCGATTCACTTTGATTCTGTATCTACCTGCTCGTCATCCTTGAGAACAGCTGCACTGCTTTCAGAAATCATACTGCAGCTTAAACAAAGATTGCAATCCTGCACCCTCTCAATCAGATTATCTCCATGCCTGACAACACATTACACTGCATACACATGTAAATTGTATCAACAGTGATATCATTTCCATTGGACGTCTTCACTTTTAATTATATCTACCTAAATTTTTATTTCAAGCTTTCGTGACTGCAGTGATTCATATTCTTGGTTCTTTTCGGTAAAGTCACGTTGAAGGGAAACAATAAAATAATAAAATATATATAACAATTAAATTCTCACGACGTTTCGACTGCAACACAAGCAATCATCACACCTGATGATCACACCTGATGATGACTGCTTGTGTTGCAGTCGAAACGTCGTGAGAATTTTATTGTTTTATACATATTTTATTGTTTCCCTTCAACGTGACTTTACCGAAAGAACCAAGAATATATATCCACCTGATTCATACAGTGTTGTCATACCTGACAGAGAAAATGCATCCTTGGTTGTAGTAAACTGTTTGCTCGGGCTCTTCCGGCAGCTGCTGGAGCTGTTTGACAGTGAGGACCCGCGTGAGCGGGATTTCCTCAAGACGGTCCTGCACAGGATCTATGGGAAGTTTTTGGGCCTTCGGGCCTTTATCCGCAAGCAGATCAACAACATTTTCTTACGGTGAGCGGTCTGCCTGAGGTGAACATTCATTGTAAAACTAGGGGTTATAGCATTTGGGTTTAGCTGAAAACATGGCTTATCTAAGTACGATAATAAAAGTGAAGCGCAAGTACTGTAAACATGATGTTCTCTGTGCAGTGACGTTGACAATGATGAATGCATTTCCACATTGTTATCTTACCCTTGGCACTTTGTGGAGGTGTGGATTTAATTTTGAGATTCCGACGTATTTTAGAATACCAATGGCACAAAAACTTTGCGTGTAGTGTGCCAAGGGATTAAACTTGTCGATAATCATGAGCGATGTGTACATTCCATAGGTACATATATGAAACGGAGCGGTTCAATGGCGTGGGAGAAATGCTGGAGATTTTGGGAAGGTGAGAGCAGGGCAGCCCTGCCTGCGTGAGGCACCGGCTGTGTCGATGTAAACATGTCTGTAAAATTTGTGTTTTTGTTTTAAATTACGGTCCCTGCTGCATTGCTTCACCACATAAGCACTGCATTACTATCGACCGCAAGAACCAACAAACCTCAAGCCAACGTTGTTTGCTTCGACTAAATATGCTAAAGTTATGAGAACACAGCACTTGTCCCTTGTTTTACTAATAATCTTGTCATATATTTTAGCAATTAGAGACTTGCATGCTTTAAATTATTATTACAAAAGAATTAGTACATATAGGATGGCTGGGAATATGAAACACTCGTGACGACAAAACGTGGGCACGCCCAGTAAGACTTTTAGATTACAGCAATGAGATCAACATTCTGAAATTACCCCAGCATCGTTAAGAGGCTTAAGTATCCAGAGAGCCCGTCGAGGGGGAAGGAGAGGGGGGGGGAATGAGGTGAACCGTTATGTAAACAGCTCAAAGCGTACACACCAACAAGTATGGAGCTGACATTTACGTTTCTTTGTTGCTTGTTTCCCCCCCCCTTCGTTCCCCTCCCCCCATGGCGATGTCTTTGCAGCATAATCAATGGATTTGCTCTGCCGCTTAAGGCCGAGCACAAGCAGTTTCTGGTGCGGGTCCTTCTCCCACTACACACCGCCAGGGGCCTCTCCCTCTTCCATGCCCAGGTGGGGCCATCAATGTCAAGGCCGTTTGCACAAGGGCCTATTTGTCAGAGATACACCGCATGTAATTTTGTTCTCTCATATATCAGATTTCTGCTGCATATATTTGAATCACCTTGGTGTGCCTGGTTCTGGCTGTTGATTCTTTTTGTTCTTCTATAGTTGGCGTACTGCGTGGTGCAGTTTTTGGAGAAAGATGCCACCCTCACCGAGATTGTAAGTCTTGAGGTTTGATGGATTGACTTCTGATGAAATGGTGCATTAAAATAGACATTTTTAAATGCGTATTATTTAGTCAATTGGTCAATGGGTGATGTCTTTCAGGTTGTGAGGGGACTGTTGAAGTACTGGCCAAAGACCTGCAGCCAGAAGGAGGTTTGTACCACTTCTTTTTTTTTGGAACACCAGTCATTGTTATAACAGTAGAAACTGTGCATCAGATAAAGCTCTTGCAGGTGGTAATTTAAAAACTGTGCCATTTTTATTTGGTGACGTGTTATAATGGCACATCAGACCATGTGAAAACATTGTAACCTTGTATTTATAGTTATTTCAGAAACAAAAAGAAGAGTGCATGGGTTAGAGAACATAATTCTAACATAAGAAAAGTAAGTTGGATTGAGCAGGCCACGTCGCTAAGAAGGGATAATGGCCGGTGGTTGAGAATAATGACAGAGGGCTAGCCAAGGAATGAAGCGTTTGAGAGGATGTCCCCTGAGGATATGTGGAGTAATGAAATTGGCTAGTGTGCATGTGTTAGGTGGAATTCTACATCGCAAGATTAAAAGATGGCAGTAGCTTAGGGATGCCTTTATCCATCGGTAGATTGCCCATGGCCAGGGGGTGGGCAACCAAAATAACAAGAAGAGACATTTTTTATATTTGGTAAAAAAACGATTTCTTGAGCCGCAATGCATGTGAATATGAGACAGTCCTTAATAAATAACGTCACGAAGTAGTCCTTAAAGAGCTGCATGCGCCTCTAGCCGCAGGTTGCCAATCCCTGACCATGGCTGATGATAACAGAAAAACATATTTTGATTGTTTAGTTGAAAGGTCCCCATGAAGAATTTTGTCTATGGTCATTGTTGGCGTGATGTGTTGCACACAGTGCCTCATCATTGTATAACCCCCCCCCCCTATTGTGCCCACAGGTGATGTTTCTGGGCGAGGTGGAGGAGGTCCTGGACGTTATTGAGCCGACGCAGTTCGTGAAGATCCAGGAGCCGCTTTTCAAGCAGATATCTCGCTGTGTGGCTAGCCCACATTTCCAAGTAATTATTTTAGTTAAATTTTTTCCCATTAAAGAGCCTTTTCTTCCAACATGATTGACTTTGCTTTGTGTTTCCAGGAAAACACTATTAGAAACCTTGTCAGTCGCCTACAGCAGAGCATCTTCGTGGTGGCAATCAGTACTTAAAATCTGTAACATAGATAATGTTGCATTGCACTGGCACTTGAATTTGCTTGGTGGCATAACATTCATGCTCTGATCAGAATTTCAAAATACATTTTATAACATGACTTTTTTTTACTTTTATCATCGATTCTCCATAATAAAAATAATATTCAGCCACATTGGTGTGGCTCATTGCACAATTAATTTCACAGCGTGTATTTTTTTATGTTTTCTTTTGAGCCTGTTGACTTGCCCCTAGTGCAGTGTGAAATGGTGCGTTTCTATATAAGGTCCTGCTTCGACTGGTCTCCCACGTAACGTCTATTCTCACGTGATTGTGCTTTTTTAGGTGGCGGAGCGTGCCCTTTACTACTGGAACAACGAGTACATCCTGAGTCTCATCGAGGAGAACTCCAACGTCATCCTTCCCATCATGTTTGGCAACCTGTACAAGATGTCCAAAGAGCACTGGAACCAGTTGAGTGCTACCGTGCTCGCAGAATGCGTGGGTGTGTGTTGCTTCGACAAGGGAAAAGTTATTTTTCTTCCAGAAATACTCTTGGGACCGTGTTGGCAGGAATGCAAATATAGTATGGCAGGAGGTCAGGTGTTGATGTTCGAGTTGGCTATTGTCTTGCTTTCAATGTGTATTGTTGTGCCTCCACTCGAAACAAGGTGGACGCTTCAATGTGTTTCCACCCTCGACAACCTGTGTTGCATGCAGGACGATCTTAGGTTTGATTTTCAACGTGATGAAGACTATGATGGACATGAACTGCGAACTGTTTGGCGAACTGACGGCGTCCTACAACAACGAGCGGCAGCGGTGCGTGCTCCCTAATGCTGATCGCGGGATGGATGGATACGTTAAAGACTGAAGCTAGTGCGTCCTAATGTTGGTCACATTAAAACCTATAGGCAAGAAATGTGCACATATCAAAACTTTTCATGGGCTGGAGTTTTCTGTAGTTAATAGGTGGGGAGAGGGTCTTTCATTTTTTAAATGAATATACTTATCCATGTTGTAATTACAAGTGCAGGCATATGTAGTTGCCAAATAAAACAATGTTTTGTTATTTATGTAATTTACCCAAAAGTTTGATTCTTTCCTACTTTTAACAAAATTTTACATTTCCAATAGTTATGTTGAACTGTGTTTTCACAAACTGCACTGCACATAGCTGTTGCAGTACAATTGAGTTGTTTATAGTGATGTTCCTAAGCTTAAGTTGTTGCCATATTGAAGGTCCACCTGAAAGCTAATCTTCAATACTGGGGAGGGTTCTGATAATCAAGCAGTGCTTTGCTTCCTCAGGCTACTCAAACACATTTGCCACAAGACATTCTGGTTTAATTTTAGCCTCAAAATAGGTGCAAAATACCTTTCAAACTTTTTTCCCTAATTTTTGCAAAACTTGACTTTTTACATACAAACAGAAGTTCGCCATGTATGGTAACATTCTGTTAAAACCAATTGTTTGTGCTTGTAATAGTGAAAAGAAAAAGGAAGAGGAGAGGGAGGAGTTGTGGAAGAAGTTGGAGGATCTTGAACTGAAGAATTCTCAAAACAATATCCTGGTCAAGTAATGGTTTGTTATTTTTCATGCAAATTTCCGTGATTTAGTTTCAGCTGAAATACATTTGCAGAATTCTCTCTTGTGTGAAGCAGTCGACTATTAAAGCCTCTTGAAAGTTTCAAGAGGAAGTGAAGATGTTGACCGTGAATGATGTCAAATACTGAAGAATATTCTCTTCTCAGCTTTAAAGACAGCAGTATAAAGCCGCACATGTTCAACGCAGACAAGGAGCAGCATCACCAAACAGAAGATTACTGCAAATCACCACTCCTAACGGTAGCAACGATAATATTGGTTTACATTTAATCTTTTAAAAAAGTTCAAACAAATATAAACAACCTAAAACAGAAAATGAAGGAATCTTGCTAAAAATGTTTCTGAGAAACCCATGTAAAAAAACCCTCAACGCAGTAACCATCCGTTTCAAAAGAAGCCGCCACCATGTTTTACGTTTACAGGATTCATGGGACTTGTGCTTGCAAATGCGTTTGCCGTGTGGACTAAGGAATCGAGCAAAACTTTTACAAAGTGCGCGTGTCGCTGTAGAGTCACAAGCCTCTACGTGTTCGCTACCGGGGCAATTCTTCAAATGGACACAGATATATATAAAATAAGATTATACACAAGCTACAACTACTGCATTGACACAATTTGTGGAGCGCGTGAATGTTGCTCGTATGTGCGTGGACCCCTGAAACGATGGTGACTACTGCTTATGTATATGTTACAGAGGTTACAAATAAAACCCAGTTGAGATATGTTTGAGATATGATTCGAATACAATATATAAATATATAAAATTATGTTTTGAGCACTGAGGATCTTAAGTGACCGGAGTTTTGAATCATTCCGTGGGTGTTCTGTAAGTTCTGCTAATGCATCGTCCGTCTGCTGTGCTAATTAAACGTTAGGGCTTATAAAGCCAGTGAGCAGTATTTAACACACAATAGTAACAAATTTAAACCTTAAAGTGCGCTTCTTCTCCGAGTACAATCATAGGCGTGAAATGTGTGGGATGGAGCGCGTTGTTGGCCACCCTCTAGATCTATTAACTATTAATATTATTACTAATGAATGTAAAAAAGAGCTTGTGTGTGTGCACAGTGATCACTGTTAAGGTATTTCTATATTACCTAATGAAATTGCATACTTCAGCCAGATGACATTGTATATTATAATAAACACTGTAGTTTTTGTTTATAGGCATTTTTAAATGTATAATGCTCATGATCCTTTTTTCTGTTGCAGTTTGAAGGTGCGTTATTTGTTTTTATTTAGTTTCCATTTAATTAAATTAACAACTTTTTGGTTAACTTAAAGCAAGGTGACTCGGCTTATTTTTTGGCAGCTTTTGAGTGCTTTACTCCCAAGTTGCTGACGTCACGGATAGGTTTATTTATTTTGAGATGTATGTTTATGGCAAAGCGAATTAAGGAATGTTTGAGCTGAAGTGAAGACACTTTGTTAACGCACTGACTAACCAGGGGTTCCTGTGCTTCTGTTTGTATGGTAACCGGGTTATAATTGAACATTTCTCAAATCTCCGTCACGATAAAAGATTCAACACCATCACGATTTGTGTCCCAGTGTTATTTATTTCCAGCGGTTATGGGGATAGGAAGTACCTTGCCAACTCATGAGGTCCAAGCTTATCTAAGTTCGTCAAATTTGCAATCATTTCTTTTTTTACCATCTGGTTTCCTCATCATGAAGGGCCCCCCTTGTTTTTAACCACTATGTACACAACCCCTCAACAAACCCTCAACCAAATAAGTTGTTTAATTTGTTATCAAGTCGACCTTGAACCATCTCGCGTAGTCTGATCACAGATGTCCCAGCCCGCTTTTGGCAGTGCATGGTTTAGAAGGTTACTGTGCTCTCTCTTGCGCTCACTTGCATTGTTTCTGTGCAACCCTCCATTGAAATAGGGGCCACTTTGTTACGGGACACTAGCCTGTGATGAATACTCTAAATAAACAGTATAGGGTTGTATTGTGTAGTGCATAATGCTCCGTGCTCTGTAAAGGTCATTCAGTCAACTTGTAAATAAATGAACACATTTACTATATGTTGGCAATAACAATAAGGCATGGAATTCCTGAGTGCAATGCACAACCGATTTTTAACTAGAAGCATTTAAAATGTCAGAATCCACTTCGCAAGTCAAATTGACCCACTGATTAAGTACATATTCTCATTTTAAATCGGTCTGCTTCATTTGGTAGAAAAAAGCAATAGACAATTTGAAAATCCAGGCCTTTGGTGTATTTTTATTGAAATCGTGTATTTAGAGAAACTGGCATCTTGAGTGGCATTTATTTTTCATTAACCAAGAAAGGTGATGGCCTTAAAAGGAAATAACCAGTACAGGGCGTTTCACAGTTATATGGTTGCTGACATGTTTTCGCAGGCAATCACTTATTCCAAATGAAAACCATGCCTTAAAATGTAAATGCGTCATGCCATGTCCAGTATTAGCTTGCCCCCGCTTGGCCTCAAGGTGGGCTAGCACATTCAGTGTTCAGGTATTTAGGAAGGTGGCAAATACTTGTCTTAGCTTAGTTTAAAATCTGCCCTGGAGCAGATAATGGTCTTCATTTCCATTGAATTTATAAAACAGCATAAATCTAAATTGCGCTGCTGGTAAGGGTTCTTTAAGTTCAGATTACGACTGTCTTTTGAAGGTACTCTCAAGCTTAATAAGATTGATCGACAAAACCTGTGCTTTTCTGAACAACAAGGCAAGACTGGGTATTAGATGCATTTGTGCAAACATTTACACTTCCGCAATAATGGTCCGTTAAAAATGGTAATATTTGTGAGTGGTTGACACCGGCTGCAACGATGAAAGTGATGGCCTGTTTTTGCAGTACTGTATGTCTTTTGGTGTGAATGTTTTTTTTCAAAGCTAAACAGCGTAGCCTGATGTTCAGCAGCACAACTAGCTGTAAGGATACTTTTTTAGTCTTTCCCTCCCCCCCCATCGCGACCAATATCCATAATAGAGGTTTTGTTTTTTTGGGTTAGATTGCATAAATATATAAATGTGTCGTTAAACCCACCACCAACCGACACAGCCAACTCGTAAGGGTTGTCACGTAAACAGAACATGGCCAATTCGTCACTAGTACAGCACACCGGTGTGTTGGAGAGCCAAGCCACAACATTTGCAATCTGAGTACGACGTTTCGCCAGTAATTACATCTAACTTCATAAGGAACGAAACAGGTGGACTTCTCCACAAATCACGCCCCTGTAACCCAACAAAATTTACGCCTCTATAATGCCTCACACCTCTATAACCCCAAAAAACTCTTATGAACAATGTTCTCGTGTTTTGAAAAATGTACCGGTCCAAATCGAGTGCTCGTTTCACATATGCTCGTGTAGATTTAGCCTACATTGGTTATTTTGAATGCCTAAGTATGACATCGCGCCTACCGCATCGACGAAGACTAACGTTGACAGGGTGAACCCTCATTCATCGCTCTGAATGAGGGTTCACAAGTGGGACGGTGATGGCAGAATGCAAAAGCCTGGAGGACGGAACCCATAAATATGATCCTGGCGTGAAGCCCAGAAGGATCTTAATTCTGGACTGCTTATGGCTGGCTGGGTTGCCATAGTTTGGTGGTGTGAACTCTAAAGAATGTGCTTTGTCTTTCAAGAACGCGAGGAATTCATGGGCGGCTGAAGGGGTGTCATTGACTATTGATGTTTACAGTACGTGAAGTTCTGAAGCCTGCACCTCACTCGATCTTATCACGATGGACAGAGCTTGCTATTGAACTACAGTAGTTTGTTTGCTTTGAAAATAGCGCATCACCGAGCCTCGCGTTCAACACCGAATTCGGTGATCGCGCGCCCCCTGGTGGCTTCGAGGAGAATGAAAGCGGCAGTCGGGCGCGGCTGCTTTGAAAGGCTTCTCGATATTTTTGTAATTTACAATGAGTTCAGTTTTTGCCGAATCGTATTCTAAACATGTTCTGGTATGGCTTGGCTAACTTAATTTCTATTTTTGGCGGTACGTCACATCTGCGTCCCTCTGCTTCGCCAACCCGAATCGATCATGAAATATTGCATTAAACAAATGCAACAACAACAAAAAAAATCCAAGATGGTCGTGTGACCAATGGAATTTGTAAAAAATAATAATGTGGAGGGACATAAATGGCAAGGAGACGTATCCAACAGTGGGCTGTACATGTGCACACGTGCGCATAATAACACATGCACAATATGCAGCCACAATACAGTACATGACTTAACATGTCCAGGATTTATTTCACTTGCTCACGCCTCTGCGAGTGGAAGGACGTCCAACTAAAGGGGATCCTCTGGAGGGTGTTTGGCCTACTCTTACACACTGGCCAGACGTCTTGGAAGCGTTGGAGCGCACACGCTTTACCTCGCCACACGCGACCTGCGGGTCCACTCTTTGCACTCAACTGTTGGGTGGACACAAGCGGAGATTTTTCAATAAGAAACATGTTAACAGTGGTTCACGGATTGAAAGTCCAGTGTGCTAACCACTTACACCACGGCCGCTTCCCACTTTAAGATACAATATACAGCAGAAAAAAGACATCCCCATATATAATTGGGCCATTGGGAATAGTGCCTGTTTGCAAGCACTATTCAGGTCTGAATTTAGGTTATAGAAATCGCAATATATCTCAAAGTCACGGGTTTTTAAAACCCCTTTTAGCACATACGGATTTGCTCAGCAAAAAATCCGTGACAAAATTAGCTATTTCCCCATTTTTGTTATTTAAATGTACGATTAGCTTTGTAAATATGTGTCTACTATGGTTTAACCAAAATCGGTAACCTACAACTTGAAGCGGAGAATGTGTCTGAGCCGTAAAGGGAGAAATGATTTGGTGACGCTGCTGCTGCATTGACTGGTGCACAGTTAGCAAAACTCAACTATAACATCGCCTTAATAGAAAAATATATATTGGCGAAAATTTGACAAAAGGTGTTGAGATTTTTTCGGACAAGTTCGCTCCACAGCCAAAACCAAGCCTGGGCTTTGGGGGAGTGAATGATTTATGGCGATTACCCAAGCTGCGAACTGAGGGGAACACAAAGTCAAGGCTTTCGCAGTGACAATCTTTGAGCGTGGGACGACTTTGTGTAACATGGCGAGGTCTGACACAAAAAATGTTTTAACTTACTAAGCTCCTAAACACTTGGCCAGAAGAGCTCAAAAGCACCACATTTTCTGGAATGGAGCCTAAAAAAAAGCTGCACGACATTTCATTAAAAATGTTTTATTAATCGCATTTCACGACGGCTTAAAAAAAACCACCCCAACTGTGCGCAAAAATTGCACAATCTGGCGACCGTGCCGGTCTACAGGGTGAGCCGCCTCAACAGTGTCTCAACAGCGAGACGGTTGCTTACATGGCCAAGACAAATGAGCAACTGTGCGCTTAGCAAACGTTGATACTGGAAGGGTTTAAGCTTATGAGTGGAGGCTGTTGTCTTTTGAAGTCGAGGATGGAGTCACAATTTGCAATGCTGTACAGTACAGGGTTTCATGCAGAACTGGGATATCCGATTATTTCGGCAATCGAATCCTCTACCGATTATAGATTCAAGTACTTGCCTGCACTCACTCTGGTTTTTCCGGTAAAGTCACGAATGTAGAAATACAATAAAATTATATTAAAACAAAAAACAATCACGACGTTTCAATATAATTTTATTGTATTTCTACATACGTGACTTTACCGAAAAAAACAATGAGTAATTTTATGCAGTCACGAAAGCTTTAATACTTTATTACTTGCCTGCAGTAAATGGACAGTTCCAAATCTGGCCCCTCGTGTGCCGCTGGACGGGAGGTGGTGGCCGCGGATTGGTGCGTCATGGGCATCATCAGCTGCGTCGCACTGGATGTGGCTTGTAGGGGTTTCCCACCGAGAGTTTCAAGTTTCATTTCAAGTTTAATTTATTAGGTATAGCCCTGTGAGCCATGCGGCTCTTAAGTCGGATGCAACCGCAACAAAAAAATTTGAACACAGAACATCTTAAAGCGACAACGCGCAACAGAAACATAATAAACCAGCAAATATTCCACACAAAAAAACTTATTAAAACACTGTGTGCAAAAATAAATGTGGTGCAAGCCAAAAACAACAACATAAGACAATTTAGATTAACCATATGTTTTCGAATCACCAAAATAAAACTATAAAAACTTTTGATTTAAAGCTTTCGTGACTGCAGTAATTCATATTCTTAGCTCTTTCAAAACTAGCTTAGCTCTTATCTCAGAAAAAATCAGACTAATATGCACCGAACTAGATCAGTTAGACAAGACACTCTACAAATCACACTTATCATTGACGGCAACAATGTCCACATCGGATTGGGAACATGTAGACAATATGACTGCCTCTTCAGCTGCTACTATGTCGACCAAATGTAAGGACAACCTGATTTCCAAATTTAACCTCCTCTTCAACAAAAGACCGGACCCACACACCAAAAAGTTAGACGTTAACAAAGTCGTAATTAATCGCAGTAACAGTTCTATTCCCGATGGTCTGAAATCCGTTTTA